TATCATAGAAGAGCTAATAATTTTGCCTTTAGTTTCTCTCAATAGGTTGCATGTCTCTTAATTTTTTAAGGCTTTTAATCATAAAAATGATTTAATAAAATTCACACAAATGATGATGGAGCAAAGTGTTCTTTGATTCTGCTCTGCAACAGTAACTTAAATACTGAAAGCAATGTGGCGCTGAGTTGTTGTTTATAGCTGCTTAATGCAGTGGGTTTACGGCTTTCATTCAATAATGTGAATATTGTGCCAGCTGGAACCATAACAGCCTCAAACTAAAACTGCCGTTGTTTTGTTTCCCATTCTGCCCAAGATGACGAACCAGCTGGGCCAATGTAAGTATCAGATTTCCATTCAAATAAGACGTGTTATGATGCAACTGTCCTGAATAACTGATGCCAGTGTGTTATTTTATAGGCAATGTTAAGAAATAGCAAATGAAGGAAATGTGTTTTGGATTGTGTATGTATGGCACTCGCACTGACTCGTTTTTGTCATCTTATCTTCAAGGAAAACCAATTCCACCAACAACCACAAAGATAAAAACCTACGTCAGAGAAATACAAATTGATTTGATCATTACAAGGTGGGTTTTTAGTTACACTGAATGCAGTCATAGTAAGATTAGTTCTAAAGGTTGTAAATGGTATATTTGAGCATTCGGACATGCTAAAGGATTTTTAAAATCTTGAACTAATTATATGCAGTTATATTTTAACTTTAATTATAACTTTGATTTGCAGAATATTACAGTATTTTGGTATAAAAGATAAAAGATGAATATGCCATGTTTTCAGATGTTTATATTAATATAAATTGAATTATGTTAATATTAATTAATTATATATATATGGGATATTCTACAAGAAACGTACATTATCTGTCCCTGAAATAAAACATAAATAGTGAATTAAAGTATTTCATCCCAAAAATGTCTAAAATGGACTGATGGTTGATTTCTGTGGCTTGTTCTGTAAAGGAATATGTCATTCATTTGGTTCTAAAAAAATATTCTCTTTATTAAAAATTTACAAACCCTGTCATTGTCCTCAGCCCAATTGAACAGCTTTAATAGTTTTGCTATGCTAAATACTGTTATTTAGAAAAGTGAAAACAACTTTAAAAAACAGCAAAGTTTAGTTTCAAATTTCAGAGAATCAAAGTTTAGAGAATCTAATTTTCAAATCATATGTAGTCTACAAATAAATACTACAAATATATTATACAAATACATTTACAATTGTCCCCATGTTTCTCTCAGTCCAGTCATTTGACCAAGAAGAAGCTGACAGTGATCAAAGATGTGTTTTATCAATGAATTGTATGATTCTATGCTTGTTTTGATGATTACATGTATTTCTATACATGAGAGAGAAAAAGATGGATATGAAATATTGATTTCAGTTCAATGATAAACACAGTTGGATTTGATTAGTAATATATAATCATAATATGTACTTTTTTTCTTAGCAGAATATTGAAGATCAGTTGACATGAAAAATAGATTGCAATATTACAATACTAAGATTAAGCTATCACTACAGTTGACAACAGACACAAGATGCCTCTATTTGAATTCCAATCAAATGAGATCAAGAGTAAATGTGACCTCACCTCCAGCCCAATCAAGTGACTAATACTTACAAACTAATATGATTTTATTCATATGAAAACGTACAATTTTTAAAAAGAGGCATGACCCCACATAAAACACCTCCAAACCTACCCTTCATTGGGAGATAAGCAAATTGTACTAAAATGTACAACTGAGATTGGATTTATATATACAATGTGTATGTATGTATATATATGTATATATGTATATGTACTATCAAAAAAATTCTAGCTTAAAGGGCTAATAAT